AATGTGTATTGCATATAAAGATATATTGAGCTCATCTATAGGATAATGGATAAGGAGTACAAAGTCATATATTATTGCTTGATCACAGCCTGCTCTGGAGCACCCTGCTGACAAAAGTATATCCTGAAGCCATACAGTTATTAGTAACCTTTTACAACAAAACAATAAATAATACCTCTTGGAATTATGTATTTTCCTATGTAGCATGAAAATGATCAATAATTCATAAAAATAATAAACACCAATATAATTGTAACAGTATATGTTGTTGTATATACCCATATATGCTGGTCAGTCACTAAGTCCTGAGGGAGCAATCAATTACAAAGTAATTTACTCATTTTCACAATTCAAACAGTTGAAACATGAAATTTAACAACATAAATAAGTTAGATTATTAAACCTAAAGACACTTAAAAATCAATGTTTAATTAACAATACAGGCAAAGATACTTTTATTTGTGGTTTTGTTTTTTTGTTTTTTTCTTCTAATAGCTAATTTCATAGGTTATATCTCCAACTGACAGCTTTGGCAAGCTTATGCTATGGATCTATTTTGTACAACTACTTCCTAATTAAAGCACTAAAACTTTCAGCACCCTTGTAAGAAGAAAAGTTCAGATGCAGTATGAAAGAGGCTGTAAGTAGGCTGACTCCAGCTATATTCAGCACTAAAGGTATATGAAAAATGGATCCAGTTCCTGGAGTTCATCTCTTTACAGTAAGGTAGACAGCTCGTTTCAGCTTCCCTATCACTTATCTGCTGGAAGAGAAACTATCAGAAAGACCACATTTTATCACTACGAGAGAATACAAAAAGAACATTCTCGTGTAAGTGCTTTACGAACTACGTTCTAAAGATACTTAAAATAAAACTCAAAGCTGAACAACTATCACTTCCCGGTAGCGTAAAGGTATAATACGGATTAAAAATGAAAGTTCCTTCTCTTTCTACCAATTTTACAGTTGGCCATATTTATATTACCTTGCAGAATGTCTCAAAGTTTATATAACTATGATAACACAAACAATGTATTATAAGACCAGGTTGATATCTATCAGTTATCCATTATATGTAACAAGAAGCAGCATATAAGAAAGCCTCATACTCAAAACCTCTTCAGAAAGTTTCTTCTTCCCCCCAAATCAATTATTTCTCTGACTGCCACAGCACAACTGGCACCAATGACAGCAAAGATGTACATCAAAGCTGTAGCATCATTTGAAAGACCTATATTTCAAGCTATTATTTACCATAATTTCCCATTGTTAAATAGAAAAAAGAAATCACACTCAAGCTGCCACCAACACATCCATGGAAAGATGATGCCCGCTCCCAGTCACTATCACAACCTACGCAGCGAAGAGTACATATAAAACCCAACATTTCGGGCTCGCACAAGCAAAGACACCACTCAGGGTTTCACCCCTCAGAACACTGTCCTGCTGCTGACCAAGCAGCACTACAACAGTCAGTTGTGCAGTAACTGGAATTCAAAGCTGTGGACCAAATCCACCACCTCGCTAAACAGTTATCCTAGTATCTCTTCCTTCACCTCAGCATCACAGGTCTAATGATTAGAATTCATTTTTTAAGCCTTCAGGTGCTGCTTTTGCTTGGAGATACTGTTCTACTAAGATGCTTCAAGGGGATCTCCTCATCATTCAGCACAGCAACACCTATCCAAGACAGTTAGGGAAGGTGTGGTGGTTGCCGATCACTCCAGATGACTACTGCCAACTCCAGGATCAGAGTTGAGCCCTGAGGGAAATACACTTTAACACTTTGTTTCCTTCTTTTCAGAAGTGTGAGTTTTGCTGTCGTTACTATTCTGGAAAGGTACAAGATACGCCAGTGTGGAAACTTCAGTCTGCATTTACAAAGTCTTTCCTATTAACTGTCTACTGACGATGGCTTCTCTCTCAGTTGGATGTTCCCAAAGAACAGTGACTATAGACTCATTTCTCAGCCGAGAAAAGCACAGTGGAAGGCAAACGCTGCCTCTGTACTTTCTCTCAATTTCAAGCTTGCAAATAATCTAAGAGATGGAGTAATCTGCATCAAGATGAAACGCGTAAAATCCTGTCAAGGGCTATTCTGCTGCCCAAGGTAACTACGCTAGCATGAACTCCAGCTTGTAAAACACCCTTAGTGGGGAAAGCAGCAAGACAAAGAAAGAAATCCAAAACTTACCCATAGATTATTTTTTCCCCCCTTAATGCACTCCTCAATTGTCAACTCATGACAAAATTTAGAGCCTTTCTGCATTATTCTCACAGAACATTTGACCACCAGCAGAGCTGATTTCTGGCCGGTTGCCTCCTTGCTTTTCAGAAGCCTCTCGATTCACTGCTTTGAGTGCTACGGAGAGTGCAACGACTGAGAAAAGGAATTATTCCCTGAAAGTTATTTTGCTTTACACTGTTAGTATCTAATAATATTCACTAACCCTTTCAGCTAAGATTCAATACCGCTGAAGCAATTAAGATCATCAGCGCTCTGAAAATCACTGTCTGCTGAATGAGCCTCCATTGAACTTAGCAGGTAGTGGTCCCACTGAAACAGGGTCATGAAACAGCTTTACAAAAACACAACTGTAACAGGAGAGCCATGCTGCTACCAGCTCTGCATTTTTTTGTTTTATCCTGGGTTTTAATATAAAAGAACTTCAAACAACTACCTTTAAGAGTTCAACCACCTCTAGGGGTTTGCTTTAAGCAGCCCACCCTGAAATTTCTCCTTAAGCATTTCTTAGTTATGAAAAGCAAGAAACATGATTTTCCTGGGACAAACTAGTTCCCACAGCATGACAGAGAAACCAGATACAGCGTTGGCTTTTAGAAGAAACTGTGTAATGAAAGTACTGAAAGACAAAGATGCAAAAATTTAAGCCCTGAAAATACACCAATCTAGTTTTATGAACTACAGCCTATGGCATCATATCTGAATGGGACTGAAAACACCAAATACTATTCTGTCCATTAATTATAAAGTGTAATGATTTGTCTTAGAAATATACAGTCTGACAATTTAAAAAGAGAGGGAAATTAAGAACTTTCTAAAATGAACTTTGTTCCCTGTATTTTTCCAGATATTTTAAGATAGTATTTTTCAGGATAGGAGCAGTCCAAACTCAAAACAGAGCAGAACAACAAACAACGGTGGTACAGCCTTCTACTGCCTGTACTTCGAAGAACGATTTCATACACTCAAAGGAAGAAACTTTTCCTTATGTGGATAAGCGAGGCTGATCTTTTGCAGTTCTCTTAACAGATGTCCTGGCCTTGATGTCCCCTTTCAAGTTTATTCTCTTCTAAATCAAGACACTGAGGTCTCTTGTGGACATATGGTATATGGACATTATAGATGCTATTTTCTTTGCAAATGTGCTAGGATCTTCCGACCTCAGGTCATACCAGCAAGAAGTTACCATCTGCCTATTCCTGTTAGATGATCAAAAAGGAGTGTTTCTGGCTCTTTTGCTACATCAACACACCAAAGGTAGTTACAATATTGTACTGCTTGCAGTTAGCACACTTGCTGTATCCCATCTGACCTTGACACTCTGTCCGAAGTAGTAAAAGCAGCAACCAAATGGGGTGGAGGAGCAGGTTTATCACAGGATTGAAAGTATGGCTTGGAAAAATCCAGCAGTGAGTTTATCATCAGAGGGCCAAGTTAGTCCTTACATTCTCTAACCTTCCCTTCATTACCTTCAGTTTCCTCAGTGCACAAACACTGTATGAGAAACTAAAAGAAATAACATTGATGTAACTCAAAACAGTATTTCAGCACAGTAGTACCTACATGGGATCTCTGTCTGTGTCTTTGCTGAACACTGCACAGGATTTCTTGGGCCCTTCTAGAAACACAGAATGAGAGAAAGTTTGAAAGCAAAGCCCAGCTAAAACAAAACTGAATCAAAACTTTTCCACTAGCTAGACTGTGTTCTCAGACACAGCAAATATTGCAATTTTCAGTTACACAAAATTTAGTTTTGTTTTGTTCACAGATAAACTTCCTTGAAAGGACAAAATTGTTGAAGAAGCTTTGTCAAAATCCCATTCTCCAGCCGAAGATAGCAGACAGTAGCATGCCTTCTCAAAGAATATTTGAATTAAAAAAGCATTGTGCAAAATCAAGGATTATTCCAAAAGGTTCCAGCAAAACAATGCATTTCTGTGTCTTACTTTTGTAGACATGCCTTCAGGTTACAATTTCTTTGGTCATTTTTTTTTTTTTTTTTTAAGAAAAAAAAGCAACATTTGATACAGTCACTAAACCTACTTCTGAGTCCCACTAAGCTTTTCATCTGGCTTCTTTCCTGAGATTCTCAGTCCCCTCCTAATTTGCAGAAGACCAGCAAGTGACAGGGCTGCTGTACCCCTTACTTGGCCACTTTTAGTCTCTAGCACTTAAATCCATCACAGCACGAGATGAAGCATTAACCAGCTACAAGAAACCATGAACCAAAAGTGCTGTAAATGCACTACGCAAATTAACAAGAAACTGTTTTATTCCAACCAATTTTCACAACAGCAGTATCCACAAACTTTCCCAAAGAAGTCTTTCCACCCCTCCCCAAGTAGGGGATAATTAAAGAATGCTTGTCGCTGACCATAGCATCACCATCAGCTGTGGTTGATCTATACCCACAGCACACACAAGTCGAAAAGGATGAAACACTTTCCCAGACTGTAAACAAGAACATACCTAAGGCAGAAATCAGAAACTTGTTCAAAGTTAAAAAGTTACTTCCTTGTACTTTGCATTTAGCTGTACAATAACCTCTCCCCAGGTTTCAAGCAATCCAGTCCAAGTTATTTTCTTAATAAACAATCACAGAAGATTTGCATTAAGAAGCAAGGGAGAGAAAACAAAAGAGTTCCATAAAGTACAATACCTCTGCATCTGCACTGTGCTCTTGGATAAATCCCTATTGCATCTAGCTCAGCAAATCAAAATTAAACCAAAAGAAATATCAATAGAAACCTCTTACCATGTTCAACGAAGACGTTACAGTGTGGGCCCCCATGCCTCGATGACTCCTTCTTCCCTGCTCCTTTGATAAAGTGCAGGGCAGGCAGACTTGGCCTCCTTTGGTCCCCAAGAACTTTTCCAGGCTGCTGCCCCATAAAGCAACTATGGGCAGCCTTTCCCAGGACAAGAAGATTTTGAAGAATTCTGTGATCCCTGATCTTCCAGGTTGGGAAGGAGCTTTGAAGGAGAACGTATTTTAGGTGGGTGCGTTGGTTGCACTCGCGGCGTGATAAAGTCGCTTCAGGCGAAGAATTAAGACAAGCGCAGATTCCTCCAATGCCTTTGAAGACGGCAACAAGGCTCCTTAGGTGACTTTATGCAAAAAAAAAATGAGTAAAAGTTCCAACTGCTTAGCAATGACCAAGCGTTACCAAAGTTTCAGGTTGCCATATGTAGTGCTTCTTCTACCAGGTAAAGGAGAATTAGTTCATCTCACAAGCAAGAAACCACATGTAGGCTCACCCAGGGCAGGAAACAGCCATTCCCACCCAGGAACCAGCCATGCCCACCACAACCAGTGTCAAGGTTTCTTTTTTTTTTTTCTCCTTTTCTTTTGCATAGCATTGAGTTAGCAAAGGCCAAAGAGCCACGTATTTGGCTTCAAGTATCGATGAAGTCTAGCAGGATCAAGTACGCTGAAACCATGTCAGCTCGCAAGGCGAAGCAGAGGCACCCCT